GCGCTCGCCCCGCGCCGAAGAAGTGCTGCGCCGAGTCGCGCAGCGTGGGCGACTCGGTGTGGTCCAGCTGCGCGCGGACGTTCGACCCGAGCGGCTCGAGGAGCCCCTCGACGAGCGCGAAGGGGTCGATGGCCGGCGGCGGGTCCGTGGTGACCGAGTGGCACCGGCTGTCAAACTGCACCGCGTTGAGCTGGTCGACGGTATCCTCGGTCCGCGTGACGTCGAGCACCTCCTCCGCGCGCGGCGGCGCGGCGGCGCGCGCGACGGTGCGCTCGGGGCCGCCTCCTCTGCTCACCGGCTGCACGCCGGCCCGCTGCCCGAACGCAACGCAGTGGCCCAGCGGGGCCGCGCACAGCAACGCGAAGAGGCGGCCGATTCGCCTGATGCTCGGTGCTGCCATGCCTTGGAAACTGCCTCGACGAACAAAGAAAAACGATCTCCGCCGATAACGAGAGAGAGAGAGAGAGAGAGAGAGAGAGAAAACCGCCAATGGCCGTTATCCGTTAGTGCGGACGTCGCCGCGGCTCGCCTCTGCCGCGGCGGCTGCTGCGCGCACGCGGCGGCGCCGCTCTCTCGCGAGACGGCTGGCGACGCGGCTCGCCGCCGACGTACGGTGCGCTCGTCCGACGGTCCGCAGCGTGGCGTGCGCGGCGCTGAGCGCCGCTCTGCGAGCGCCTCTGCGCCTGCACTGCCTGTCTCTGTTGCTGTTGGTGGTGGTGGTGCTGCTGCTGCTGGTGCCGATGCTGCTGCTGGCGCGGCGCGGCTGTGCGACTGGGCTCGACGCGCGCGTCGCGAGCGTCTGACGCGGCGGGCGGCGTCGGGCAGGTGCGCTTCTCTCTCGGGTGGTGGTGGTGGTGGTGCTGCTGCTGCTGGTGGTGCAGATGCTGCTGCTGGTGCGGCGCGGCTCTCCGACGCGACTCGATGCGCGCGTCGCGGCTATCTGACGCGGCGGGCGGCGTCGCGGGCGGCAGCGGTGGCGGCTCGCGGGTGGAGGTGGAGGCTGGAGGCGTGGTGGGTCTTTGAGTTTATTTCATGATGGACTACGAGGAGTGGGGGTCAACCGGGAGGCAGGGGGCTCAACCAGGCGACGGAGGACCGTGGGCCATCGCGGGGACCAGCTTGTCCGGAGGGCGGGCTGGGCAGATCCGGATGGTCTTCACGCCGGTGGGTGGCACCGAGGCGTCTTGGACGCTCAGCTCTAACTTAAGCTCCTGAGGGGCGCGTGGTTGTAACCACGTAGTATGACTACAACCCACCACAGACACCCTCCCCCACTCCTCACGTGTGTTCACACCCTCACCCTCTCCTCTCTCCTCTCTCTCTCTCTCTCTCTCTCTCTCTCTCTCCTCTCTCTCCTCTTGTCTGTGCTGTCTGCCTGACTCAGGCACTCAATCTGCCGATGCGTGATTGTGTGTGGGCTGCTCCGAGGGGGCCCTCTGTGCGATCCGACGGGTAGGGGGGCTGTGCCCGGGCGGTGTCCGGTGTGGAGTCCCCTTCTGATCCCGCCTGGAATGTTGGGTGTGAGGTCGTGGAAGCTTTGATCCCAAGGGGGGGAGCTGATCCCACTCAATAACCAACTCTCAGGGGCAGTAGGTGGGCGAGCTTCAGGCACGCTCATCTCGATCGTCAAGACGTTGCTACGCGCGGTCTTCCGCGGGGGGAGCTGCGTCGACGGGTGCGGGACCGCGGCGCAGCCAGTGCCGTGGCGATGCCTCCGGCTGTTTGCGGCGGGCGGCTTGCTGCTCGCTGCGATGGCGAAAAACTCGTCTCGCCACACGCCAAGGGCTTATGCTCTGGCGAGACGTGAGGCGCATGCGCCCAGGAGGGGAGGGGGCATGTGTAACGACACTGCTAGAGATGCCTTTCGGGGCCCAGAGATAAAACTTCTGTGATGCCATGCGTGACCTAGTAGTGTCCCCAGCTATGGGCGTGTCCACGTTGGAGCCAGGTGTGGTGTGGGCGCGAGAATAGCTCCGCCGTTCATGGAGGCAACCGATGCGAGTCGACTGGTGTGTGTCGTCGTGGTTTCGTATCAAGAATTCTCTCTCTCTCGCCGATAACGATTGGGGTGGGGGCCCCAACTCGTGGTAGGCCACTAGTTTATCGTAGGGTACTCACGGATACCTCTCCTGAGTCCCTCTCGTGTGCCCTCGCGCACATCGCATGCGGTCTTCACTCAGCCTCCGCTGCTGTGAACACCAAACTTGCACTTCAGCTGGTGCGCGCTTTCGCCGCCTACTTTCGCGAGCGCGCTTGGCCCTTGCTCCTCATGCGCGGCGCTCTCGCTGCGCTCTCTCCCTGCTCATGGGACCTGATGCCGCGCCACCTCTGTGGCCGCTCCATCCTCTCTGACGGCGCCAGCCCTCCGGCTGCGCCATCTCTCTTTGGTTGGCACAGAATCTGTGTCTGCGCCATTCTTGCTGTCGCTGGCGACTGTTCTGGGCAGCAGTACACGATGGGCGGCGGCCTCGTCTGCCGCGCTTGTGGCGCTCTCGTGGTCGCCTCGGGTCTGCCACGACGGCCTCGTCCACCTGGCGGCCAGGGGCGGTGGCCCCACAGCCCACTCTTGGTGCTGCTGTTGCATCACGTCTCGTGGCGTGCTTCTCCTTTCTCTCTGGACCCGCCGGCGATAAGCTCTGCTGTCATGTTGCTCTGGGAGATCTCTATCCAAGGCAGCACTCCGGCACTTGCTCCGCCCGTGCAGCGGCGCTTGCTGCTCTTCGAGTGAGCCTCGTCTCGCTCTCTTTGTCTGCTCAAGCCTCGCCTCGTTCGCCCTCGTGGGCGGCGTGGCGGGCGGCTGTCTCTGCCGCCGCCTCGAGTGAGCCTCGTCTCGCTCTTCGTCTACTCGAGCCTCGTCTCGTGTGCCGCCTCGTGGGCGGCGTGGCGGGCTGCTGTCTCTGCCGCCGCCTCGAGTGAGCCTCGTCTCGCTCTTCGTCTACTCGAGCCTCGTCTCGTGTGCCGCCTCTTGGGCGGCGTGGCGGGCTGCTGTCTCTGCCTCCGCCTCGAGTGAGCCTCGTCTCGCTCTTCGTCTACTCGAGCCTCGTCTCGTGTGCCGCCTCTTGGGGGGCGTGGCGTGGCGGGCGGCTGTCTCTGCCGCCGCCTCGAGTGAGCCTCGTCTCGCTCTTCGTCTACTCGAGCCTCGTCTTGTGTGCCGCCTCTTGGGCGGCGTGGCGTGGCGGGCGGCTGTCTCTGCCGCCGCCTCGTGTGAGCCTCGTCTCGCTCTTCGTCTACTCGAGCCTCGTCTCGTGTGCCGCCTCGTGGGCGGCGTGGCGTGGCGGGCGGCTGTCTCTGCCGCCGCCTCGAGTGAGCCTCGTCTCGCTCTTCGTCTGCTCGAGCCTCGTCTCGTGGGCCGCCTCGTGGGCGGCGTGGCGTGGCGGGCGGCTGTCTCTGCTGCCGCCTCGTGTGAGCCTCGTCTGGCTCTTCGTCTACTCGAGCCTCGTCTCGTGTGCCGCCTCGTGGGCGGCGTGGCGTGGCGGGCGGCTGTCTCTGCCGCCGCCTCGAGTGAGCCTCGTCTCGCTCGTCGTCTACTCGAGCCTCGTCTCGTGTGCCGCCTCGTGGGCGGCGTGGCGGGCTGCTGTCTCTGCCGCCGCCTCGAGTGAGCCTCGTCTAGCTCTTCGTCTACTCGAGCCTCGTCTCGTGTGCCGCCTCGACCGGCCGACACGTGGCCGCATATATGTGTATATACCACGTCCGAATGGGCTGCACAAGCCAAACCACGCTCATCACAGCTTGCCACAGTGTGGCCCCTGGCAGGGGTAAGCCATTCTTGGTGTACCAGCTCACAGGAGGGCCGCTTGAACACGATTGTTGCACGGCGTGAAAAATCAAGTATTCGCGAGACACATGTACATGTTGTTGTTGTCGCACATGCAACGCGAGCCCCAGGCCCAGCACCCGCGGGGCGCTGGGGGCGCCGCGCGCCCCGAGCGTGCCGGCTCCATATTCAAAAAGTCCGATGAGCGATGATGAAGCGCAAACGCTCCCCTCCCCTGGAGTTTGTGCTGGAGGAAGGACATCGCGACGACACAGTGATTGTGTTTGTGAAGAATATGCGTAGTTTTACAGCTCCTGTGCGTGCAGACACCGCGCGTTGCGCGAGCACATTGGGGAGGCCAGCCTCCGGCTTCTCAGCGTCTCGCGAGGGCTGCGTCTCTGTCTGCCCTCCTGAGCGCGCGCGGCGAGGAGGGCGCATTGGTAGAAGTCGGCCTTGGGGTGCGACGACGGGCGGCCGGGTGCGACAAAATCCGAGAATTGCCGTAAACCTCGTGTTTTTCTTTAATCCTGCTGATCTCGGCGCGTTGCTGAACTCACCGAGCGCCGGCTGTCGAAATGCTGCTTGTCCTCGCCTCCTCGGCCGGCTGGCTGTCGCCACCGACGCGGCAGCCTTTCAGGCTGCTCTCGATGCGGCCGCGGCTGTCAGGTAGCTCCATGGCCAGCGATGAACTGCCTGCTAGCTCCGTGGCCAGCGATGAGGCGGTCGGCCAGCGCGAGTACCTCATCGCGCCGCGGGACGTGGACGGCGCCTCTGGCTGGGTGGAGACACGCCCCGACTACCCGCTGCCTCGGATGTGCATCGTCGCGCGGCGAGGACGCCTCACCAACGCGGCGGTCGGTGAGTTCCTGCAGTTCCTCGGTGACGCGCTGGCGCTTCAGGCGCCGATGACGGTGCTGTGGGACGTCTCGTCCGAGCCGGGCGGCTTTCCGTCGATGGAGCAGTTCCGCACCGTCAACCGTTGGCTGGCACAGAACGGCCGCGCCGCCGCATACGACGCGTGCGTGCAGGGGCACTGCCTGTTTGTCAAGCAGCGGCTGCGCAGACTCGGAATCCGCACGATGGCCTCCATCGCTCGGCCGCCGCAGCCCGTCAAGGTCGTGGCCAGCCTTGACGAGGCGGACCTCTTTGCGGCAGAGGCGCGGTGCGAATCGGACGGCCCGCCGCCGCCGCCACCAACGCCGCCGCCGCCACCAACGCCGCCGCCGCCACCAACGCCGCCGCCGCCATCAACGCCACCGCCGCCGCTCTCGCCGGCTTCGCGCGAGGCGCTTCCCGTCTTGACGCGCGAGAGGTCTCGGCGGACTCTGGGAGAATCTCGGGGATCGGGGAAGATCGAGTAGGCGCTGCCCGTCCGCATCGACGGCGAGTGGTTCGACCTGAGGCGCTGGCGGGCGGCGCACCCGGCCGGAGTCCACTGGCTGGACGGCTTCGCCGGCCGCGACGCGACCGACGTGCGCTTTTCACAGCGCTCCTCACGGCGGGGCGGTGTGAATGGCGGCTCTTCACAGCTCGGAGGTGTGAACAGGTGATGCACGCCTTTCACAGCGAAGACGCGTCGCGATGCTCTCGCGGCTTCCGAGGCTGAGCGCTGCAGTGCAGCCGCCCTCGCTGCCGCCGGCTTCGGCGCTGACGCTTGGCTTCCGGCGGCTGCGGGCGAGGCGGCGGAGGGGAGAGGGCAGGTGATGCCCCGTTGTGAGTGAGCACCAGGCCGATGGTTGGCAGGCGAGGCTGGTGGCGGAGGGGTGGTACGAGCGGCTCTGGTGGCGCGAGGCGCAGAACCTGCTCCCCTGCCTCGCCTGCTATGGCGTCGGCTGGCGCCTGGCTCGGGCCGCGCCGTTGCTCGCGACGCGACTCGAGGCGCTCCGTGCCTGTTCACAGCGTGAGCTGTGAAGAGACGCTCTTCACACCGACCCGGCACGCGACTCGAGGTGGCGCCGGCTGCAGCACCTGTACGCCCTCCCGCTCTACTCGGCCCTGTTTGCCCTCTGGCGCTTCAACTCAGCGCGCACCGTCTGGTCGAAGCGGCTCTGGCGTGAGGCGGCCCCGATGGGCCTCAACTACCTGCGGGGGGCCCTAGAAGCTGCACGCGTGTCCGTGCCTCCAAACTAGTATTCAGCGTCTGTATTACGACCGTCGTAGTCTCCTTCACCACATCCCCGCCCTGATGTTGGGGTATGCACCTCGCAGGTGGATGGCGCTGTGTTTGCCGCCAGCCGTCGCGGTCGGGCACGTCCTCCTCGCCGGTGCCCTCACCGCAACCATCGTCACCGTCTCGCATCAGGCCGAGGACTTGTTCCACGAGCACCAAGACGACTGGGTGGCGTCGCAGGTGCCGAGATCTAGCCGAGATACGGCCGAGATGCGGCCGAGATGTGGCGACGATTATTGGGTGGCGTCGCAGGTGCACTCGACCCGCGGCTGCTAGATCCACCCCTTGAAAACCAATTGTCGTTGAATCCGCCGTTTGGGCTTGCGCGTCTCAGGTGCACTCGACCCGCGACGCGGTGACGAGCAGCCCGTTCTCCGAGTGGCTCTGGGGAGGGATGCAGTACCAGCTCGAGCACCACTTGCTGCCAAACTCGCCGACATCTCCTAGACATGTCCGCGACACGTCCCTGACATGTCCTGTAGGCACCACCTGCTGCCCACCATGCCGCGCTACCGCTACCCCTCCGCCGCGCCGCTCGTGCGCAGCTCTGCGCGGAGCACGGCGTCGAGTACCGGGTGGACTCGGAGCTCGGCGTCGTGCGGCGCAACTTTGCGATGCTGCGCGAGGTGGCGAGGGCGGGTACGGAGGAGGGCGCGCTGCCGACGCGCACCGAGACGGTGTGGAGCAGGAGGGACGGCGCGGCGTGGGTGGGGTCGAACTAGAGGTAAGGTATAAGGTAGATTTCTCCACACACACAAAGTGGTGGGGCAAGGGGGGGCGACCCTCGCATCTCCACGCCCGGACACGGGCAGGAGCCCCACAACTAGAGGATCCGTTTGGACGCCGAAAAGACTCTCTCGGGGTGCTAAGTAATTACGGGGGAAGGACCGTGAGTTGACGGAAATCGGAGGACGCGACCCACTTCGCCACAGACGGTCCCGCGCCTCGCCGCTATGACGGGGACACACCCCGCACCGTCCGCTGTGTCCCCGTCTTTGTCCGGAGTGAATACTCCAACGCGCTCGTCGGTGGCGGCTTCCTCCAACCTGTGCCGCGCTCGGCGAACCTCGACAGCGCCTTCGGTGGCATGCAGCTCTTTGCGCCTGAAGCCTGGAGTGAAGCTCCTCTGCTGCTCACACACTCTGCACAGATGACACAGCCCACTGTGCGGCTGCCACAGCTGTGACAGCGATGGGCTCGCCCTCACTGGCCCTCAGTCACTTGTGCTGCGGCTTGTGTGAGCGACACTGCGCGGCGACTGCCGGCACACTGTGAGACCATGGGTGTGAGGTAAAACCATGCTACCAGCGCTTGGTCACATCGGCCCCGAGGTCAGATCCTTCTACTCTGTTGATGACAACACTTGTCTACTCGCTGGAGCCGAGCAGGAGGGCTTGGCGCACAACCCCTGTTCAACGCAGGGTCCTTCCCCTTTATAGAGGTGTGGACCGTGAGTTGAGGAAATCGGAGGACGCGACCCGCTTCGCCACAGACGGTTCGCACAGAGACAGTCGAGTCGAACGTGGTGGGGGGCGTGGGGGGTGGGGCGTAGCGCGGAGCGGGAGCGCAAGGCGCGCGGCGCGGCAGAGGAGGCGGAGGCGGCGGAGCTGGCGCGCGCCGAGGCGCCGCTGCTACGCCGCGCTGTCCGCGCCGCGCGACGAGGACCTCGCCGCCACGCCGACCGGCTGCTCTCGAGGCCCGAGCGCGGCGCTCGCGCGCGGGGGGGAGGAGGCGTGGAGAGCGGCTCGGCTCCGCAGCCCACTTGCCGCGTCTGCTCGCGCTGGTAGCTTGGTCGCATGCTCTAGCTTGGTAGCATGCTCTCCCGTGTTCGCGGCGTTCGTGCCGCGGCGGCGCGCGGGGGGGCCCCCGGTGTGCGGTGTCTCCGGTGAGGGGGCGTGCAGGGAGGAAGTGGCCAAGTGCAAGTGGGGAAGTACGTGCCTCGATGTTTGCTTCCCATCGCATATTAATCGCCCCCTGGCAAAAATGGCAGAAATCATATCGGCATGTGCTCGCCCCGCGCATGTGTGCCATGAGCATGCCGCCCATATCTCGCCCCCGGCTGCACAGTACACTCTCGAGCGACTCTCGCGTCTCCGCCTCCGCCATCCCCCCCCTCCTCCTCCCGCCCAGCCCATCGGCTCGGGGGGTGGTGAGGGCAAGCGGGGGCGAGGCGCAGTCCCTCTGGACTATACTGAGGTGTGGTTCTGTCCCTAAAGCCGTAGTCTCGGAGGGGGGGGGCAAAAAGATAAGAATATCTAATTTTTCTTCCCATGGCCATGCCCCCATACTCCGGGTCCGAAATCGAGTCCATACTGTGCACACACAACTGCGCACGTTGGGCCTGCGGCGCTGGGCTCACGCGTGAAGCGTGCAGGAAGCGTGTCGATCTTAGTCAAGAGCGACACGCAGCAACGCCTGCTTGTCGTGATCGCCGGCTGCTCTCTCCTAGCTCCGCGGCGCGGCTCGCCCGCGCCGCAACGCCTGCACACGAGGCGGCGGGGCGGGGGGGCGGGGTGAGGTGTGCTCAGATGTGTGGTCCCTAAGGGGTGGCCCGGAGGGCGATCACAGCTCGCAGAGCACAGCCTCAGATATTCTCAAACTGCTGGTGTGTGATCCTCACGGCGGATCAGAAAGAGCGCGGAGTGGTCCTCATAGGCTGTCGGGCGGGAGGGGCTGCGGCAGGTGGGGAGTGGTGCTCGGCGCGCCATCTGCAACAATCTCGGGCAATCTCGGGCATCATGTCGGGCAATCTCGGGCGTGGTCCTCGGCGCGCCATCCAGCAGGAATCGACGGCAATGCGGCCAAGCAAACTGCGGGCAGCAGCCCCACCTCATTGGGCGACACGAGGGGGCCACCGCCACCGGCTGCTCTCAGCGGCGCAGGAGGCTGGTCGAACAATGTTCGGCTCACTGTGTGCGATGACAAACGTGTTGGCATCGCTGTCCTCCCCCCCCCTTCCCCCCCTTCCCCGGGATTGTGCGATTGACCGAGCTCGCTTGCGAGCTCACACGGCCTTTGCCTCGTAGCGCAGGATCGCCTCTTGCAAGCCTCGGATCTCGGCGAGGCCGCGCAGCCGCCCAATCGCCGTGTAGCCCGGGTTTGTGGCTCGGCCTTCCCCCAGGTCGTCGAGCATCTTGTGCCCTGAAGGGGAGATGTGGTGGAGATGTGGGGAGGTGTGGGGAGGTGTGGGGAGATGTGTGGAGGTGTGGGGAGGTGTGGGGAGAAGTGGGGAGATGTGGGGGATGGGGAGATGTGGGGAGAGGTGGGGAGAGGTGGGGAGATGTGGTAAGGCGCTCGCCTAGGGCAGGTGGCCATCTCGCGTAATCTCGCGTAATCTCGGCGTATTAGGCAGCGCATCTCCCATCACCGTGGTCCGGCCGGAACGGCAAGCGCGGCCGCGCGTCGCCTACGCCGAGATGACGCGAGATTGCGCGAGATAGCCTAAGGGCTCTTAACGGCAAGGGCGGCCGCGTCGCCGTCGCGCTGCCGCCGGGCGGCCTCGCGTGCAAACGTGCGCACGATGCGAAACATGTCGACATCGCCATCGAGGTGGTCGCTCTCGACGAAGGAGCCGCCGCCTATAAAAAAGAAATACGGCCTAGCAAAAGAAATCGACGTGCTCGCTCTCGACGAAGGAGCCGCCGCCGTCCGTCCGTCGCACGTTGCGGAGGTGGACAAAGTGCGTGCGCGCCGCATGCCTCTCCGCCTGCGCCCGCATGGACGAGCTCGGCATCGAGATTGTCTCCTCTCTTGAGTGAGAGACGGTGATCTCGCGCTAGTGTGTGTGCGTGCGTGCGTGTGTGTGTGTGTGTGTGTGTGTGTGTGCGTGTGTGTGTGTGCGTGTGTGTGTGTGTGTGTGTGTGTGTGTGTGTGTGTGTGTGTGTGTGTGTGTGTGTGTGTGTGTGTGTGCGTGTGTGTGTGTGTGTGTAGTGTGTGTGTGTGTGTGTGTGTGTGTGTGTGTGCGTGTGTGTGTGTGTGTGTGTGTGTGTGTGCGTGTGTGTGTGTGTGTGTGTGTGTGTGTGTGTGTGTGTGTGTGTGTGGGGTGCCCGCCATGCCCTCGACGTCGTTGGCCGAGCTCGAGGCGTAGCTGCCTACGTGATGCAAACACACAACGTGAGGGCGGGAAGACGGTGTTGTGCAGTGTGTGTTCAGAGCACCGCGCGAGTACGAGGGGCTACGAGTACAGTCGCGGCCGCACAAACAGTGGTGTACGTGTCCTCTCGAGCGCTCGGGACAACACACAAGGATGCGTGTTCCGCTGCTGGGCCGCTGCTGGGCGTGGCTGCCGGCACAGAAGGTGAGGTTGGGTGTGTACACCGCGGCCCGTTGTGTGCTCTCGTGAAATCTCGTGAACTCTCGTGTAATCTCGTGTAATCTCGGCTGCCGACACAGAAGGTCAGCCCATTGTGTACTCGTGAAATCTCGTGAAATCTCGTGTAATCTCGTGTAATCTCGTGTAATCTCGTGTAACGGCTGCCGACACAGAAGGCCAGCCCGTTGTGTGCTCTCGTGAAATCTCGTGAACTCTCGGCTGCCGACACAGAAGGCCAGCCCGTTGTGTAATCTCGTGTAATCTCGTGAAATCTCGTGAACTCTCGGCTGCCGACACAGAAGGCCAGCCCGTTGTGTAATCTCGTGTACTCTCGTGAAATCTCGTGAACTCTCGGCTGCCGACACAGAAGGTCAGCCCGTTGTGTAATCTCGTGTAATCTCGTGAAATCTCGTGAACTCAGAAGGTCAGCCCGTTGTGTAATCTCGTGAAATCTCGTGTAATCTCGTGTACTCTCGTGAAATCTCGTGAACTCTCGGCTGCCGACACAGAAGGTCAGCCCGTTGTGTAATCTCGTGTAATCTCGTGAAATCTCGTGAACTCAGAAGGTCAGCCCGTTGTGTAATCTCGTGAAATCTCGTGTAATCTCGTGTACTCTCGTGTACTCTCGTGAACTCTCGGCTGCCGACACAGAAGGTCAGCCCGTTGTGTAATCTCGTGTCATCTCGTGAAATCTCGCGAAATCTCGTGTAACGGCTGCCGACACAGAAGGCCAGCCCGTTGTGTAATCTCGTGTAATCTCGTGAAATCTCGTGAACTCTTCGGCTGCCGACACAGAAGGCCAGCCCGTTGTGTAATCTCGTGTCATCTCATGTAATCTCGTGTAACGGCTGCCGACGCAGAAGGTCAACCCGTTGTGCGGCGAGTCGACGGCGGCCAGAAGATGCTGCACGTCGCTCTCGCAGGAGACAACGCGCGGCAACCTAGGTCAAGTCTTCTAGGAATTGTGAGTTCGAACGATGGGGTCCGATCCGGTTTTCTTTTACCCGAGCAGCGGCATGGGAGGGTCGTCCGGGTGGATGGCCATGTACACGCCGGCGGCCGCCTGTTCACAGACACGGCTGTGAAGAGGCGCTGCCCGCGGGCAGGTGGAGTCTACGCACACACGCACGGCCACACCGCGGCCGGCACGACCTCGCGTAGAAAGTGGGCGAGGTTTGCCTGAGGGACGGTGAGGGGGAGGTAAACTCCTCCACACACACACGCTGGGGCAAGGGGAGCGGCAAGGGCCGGGCGACCCTCGCGCCTCCACGACTAGACGACAGGAGCCCCACGGCGTTAGAAGTGCAAGGCCCGGTGCGCGTGGGCGAGCGGTGTGGGAGCGAGCGAGCGAGCGAGCGTGTGCGTGTGTGTGTGTGTGTGTGTGTGTGTGTGTGTGCGTGTGTGTGTGTGTGCGTGTGTGTGCGTGTGTGTGTGTGTGTGTGTGTGTGTAGGGTTGGCCTGCATCGCAATCTTGTCGATGCAATCTCGTGCAATCTCGTGAAATCTCGTGTAATCTCGGCCTGCATCGTAATCTTGTCGATGCCCGCGTACGCGTCCAGGCAAGCTTGGAAGTCAGCGAGGCTCGACCTGTTCACAGGCGCAGGCGTGAACGGCGTCTCGTCACAGCTGCTTATGACGCTGCGCCCCACCTGTTCACAGCGTTCACGCCTGCGGCACCCGTCTTCCTTTTTCCGTGCCTGGAGGCGAGCAAGGGCTCTGCCCCGCCGCCGTCGTCCGCCCTGGAAGGCCTGCGGTCACAGTACGCGCCTACAAAAAAGAAATACAGCTAGAAAAAGAAATCGACGCCACGCTGGAAGGCCCGCGGTCACGGTACGCGCCAGCGCCTCTCGGCCGCCTTCGGACATGTCGGCGAAGCGCGCGGCCGCGCGCGCGCGCACCGGCGCGTCATAGCATGCCTCGGCGCCTAAACGGACCAACAAACGCCACATGGTCAAGCAAGGGATGGCGTCTGGTCCGCACGGAGGCGGTGCGCGCCGGGACGCTGCAGCAGGTGCAGCTCGAAGGCCGCAAAGTCGAGGAGGTCGAAGGCGAGTGCGCGGCTCCCGTCAGGCCACGCGCCTGGATGGGAAGTCTGCATTTTGTGCACTTGGACTTGGGCTAACAACGCAGTGTATTTTGTGTACTTTGCGACCCCCACCCTGTGTACTTCCCATCTAGAGCCGCGCGCGCGGGGTACGTAGTGGTTTGAATTGGGTAGTTTCCCTCGATCACAGAACGAGGAGGCGGACGCCGCACCGGCCGAGGTTGGTGACCGAGGCCTTGTACTTGTCGATGAAGGCGGACCGCTCTGGCTCGCGGCCCTGCTTGATCGCCTCGTGCACGGGGATGCTCTCCGCCACGGACCATGTCAGCCCGCTGCGTTCGACGAGCGATTTGCGTGCCTCGATCGCATCGACCGTCCACACGTCGCCAATCGGGACGTCGTGCAGCGCGGTGACGATGCCGGTGGCGCCGGCCTGCTTGACGTGCTCCAGCGTGACGGGGTCGTCAGGGCCGTACCTGGCAAAGTCGCGTGCTGGCACTCGTCACACGGTCTGTTGTCGCTCTATTGTGATGGCAGCGTCGCGTGCTGGCACTCGTGACACGGTAGCTAGACTCACCAGCGCCACGCTTGCTCCATTGTGCGATAAAAAGAATTCAACAAAAAAGAACTCTCTCTCACCGACACAGGTTCGACAATTTTACCAGCCCTGATTCTCACACAACGATACAGCGCACGAGGCGAGACCTGCATCTAGCCATATCTCCTCGCACCTCCCGGTATCTCCCAATATCTCGGGTCATTCTGATGCTAGGATTGGTATCGTGGATAATTATATGGGCCATATGGTTTAGTGCGAGGAGGAATAGATACGTAAATATGGTGGGAACTCAGGTAAGGAGCAGTGGAGGAAGGACGACACGTATACTAATCTTAATTGGAGCTATGCCCCAAATGTGCGGGGGTACCGGGCACGGAGATAGCTCGTCTACTGTAGAAGACGGAGGGAGAGTGAGAGGGACGGGAGGACTACTAGATAGGATCGCAGCACTAGTGCAGGAGATGGACACGGGGGAGAGACGGCTGGGACACGCTGTGCGCAAAGTGCGAGATGAACCCGTCGGCCTGTCAGGTGTTCCCGCGCAACAAACACGGCTGAGCTGCCGCCTCTTTGATGGCCAGCATATGTGCCTCTTATAGTCCTCTGAGTCTCTGGTGGTTGAGAGAAGAAGGCCTGTCCAGAAGAGGGGGACTGTGTGCGCGGTGTGCGGGGCCGATGGTGCGCGGAGGGCTGGAGCCGAGGTGGAGCGTGGCCGGAGCCGCGGCCGAGCCCGAACGCGCGCGCGCTCGTGTCGAATAGCAAGCATGGATGCCGACATGCGACAAGCGAGAGGCGTTTTAGTCTTGAACTATTGGGATAGGAAGACGCTGAAGATCATTGCTCGCACAACACGCAATCCATCCCTCTCCCGGCCGACGCGTCGTCAGCAGCATTTCTCGGCCGGCGGCCCGCGAGCCACGGCAGTCCGCCACCAGTCGCCTGAGATAGGACACTCCCAGGCGCTGCCGCGGAAGCCCGACTCGAGTCGCGGCTCGCTCACTTTCCGGCGGCGAGGGCGCAGGTGCAGATGCCGACGGTCGCGCCGGAGCAGAGGGCCGCCAGCTTGAGCTCTTCGGAGGAGCTCTTGGCCGCCATGTACGCCATCGACCTGCGGCGGCGTACTCGCTCACTCTCGAGGGAGTGGCTGAGTGGGCGAAGGCGAGCTCACGTCAGCCCGATAATGCCGCCGCCAAGGCCGCGACAGAGCCCAATCGTGTCAAAGTTCTCGTCAATCTTGGCCTGCGAGAGGTAGAAGCGCGGAGCGAGCAGCATGTGCGCCGTGTACAGGCTGCCGGCGGCGGTGATGGTGTAGAGCGTGGTTGATTTGTCCATAACGCGCCCGCCCGGAGAGATGACGGGAAAATTAAGAATTCGGAGGGCGGAAAAAACGAGTTCTCGAGGTTCTCGAGGTGGATATCCTTTGGCCGCGTTGGGTAGCGAGGCCGTGCCCCCGAGTTCATTTAAATATAACGAGGATTGGTGTGACGCGATCCACGCAGGCGTGTTTTCTGGCGGCCGACCGTCAGTGCAAGGCTGGTGCAAGGAGTCTACTAAGCTCAGAGGAAACCCGGAGCGCAGAGCCAACCCTCGGAGACGGGTTTAATTTATGGCCCTTTCCCTGCGAACGCGCACCCCCCGGGGCTAGGGCTCTCTTGCCCGCAACCCGATACCAATCATCCGGCCCGCTGGGTCGGCGCTAAGGTGTCCCGAGCCTGGAAGGGTATGTTTCAGCTCGTCGCGCAGCCGCCGCTGCATGCCACGCACAGCCTCCGCGATCGAGTGCCGGTGCCACTCGACCAGGTTGAGTCCAAGCACGCCGGCGTTGAAGAAACTGCTGCGGAGGGTGGTGCGGGTAAGTCCCAGGTAGCGCAGTTGGTCGCCGGTGAGCCTGGTGCCGGCCCGAACGGAAATGGGCCTAAGAACGGCGGCTGTGCTGCATGAGGCGTCTTCTCCCACGAAAAGTCCTTGCATCAGCGAAGCCACATCATCCCGCACGACCGCATCGTTGTCGATCCAGAGCAGCTTTGACACGCGCGGCAGCAATTCGGGCAGCTCAATACGCAGCTGTTCGTAAGAGGCGTCACTTTCACCACGCGTTGTACCGATGGCAATGTTGACCGCGTGATGCGTCAGCCTGTGGTGCCCCAACCCCAACATGGGTGCGGCACACCGTAACACCCATGCAACTTCACCGTGAGTCTGATTGCCGGTGAAGAGGTGGATATGAAGCGGCCCACGTGCGTGAGCCACATCATCGTCCGCGGTCATCCTTTCAGCCTCAAACGGGCCAAACAACAGTCTCGCCATCACCCATCTCGCCTCTCGCGATCGCGTCACGCCTTCCCTTGTGCCGCGAGTAGGCGTGTGAGTGATGGCCCTGCCGCCAGGTACACGGCTACACCTCGGGACGCCGTGCTGAGACGGGTAGAGCCGCCCCACGGGAGCGAAAGCCGCCGCGCGCGCCTCAGCCCGCCGGGCCCCTCGGCGGCCAGTGTGGGGTGGATACGGCGGTGATAAACCCCTCTGACAGCAGCGCCTCACGGCGTGGGCTGCGAGGTCACTCGGGGTGGCCCAGGGGGCGGCGGGGGAGCACTCTCCCGCCGGAGCAGCGGGTGATATTCCCGCTACTCGCTCGAGTTTGAGGTGCGCCGCGCCTCGCCTGTGCTGCCTTCCCGGCTGCCCCAGCCGCCCTCACCGTCCTCATCCCCTCCCCCACCCCCTCCCCCTCAGGCTAGGCCCTCGCCACCGCCGCTGCCGTTGTCTCCGCCACAGCCGCCGCCGTTTCCCTCCCCCCCACCCCCTCCGACGCCGTCGCCTCCGCTGCTCCCGCCACCACCGCCGGCCGCCTCAGCTCTCCCTCGCCCACCTGCTTGATATCACCGCCGCCCTCCGGGAGTACCCGCACCCCGCATCCGCGACCCCACGCCCCCACGACGACCTCCCGCCCCGCCCTCCCCGCGTCTCAGACCTTTGGCCGTGCTCCGCTCGGGGCGACTCGGCGCCGCCATCGCGAGCACGCCGCCGCCCTCGCCCCCGCCACCTTCCCCCCCGCCATCCCCACCGCCGCCGTCGCCGCCGCCCCCGTCACCGCCACCGGCGCCCTCGCCGCCCCCTCCATCGCCCCCGCCGCCGTCGCCCCCTCCGCCTTCCCCGCCTCCTCCATCGCCTCCGCCGCCGAGCCCTCCGCCACCAAGCCGCGCCCCCGCCCTCACCCCCTCCTCCCTCGCCGCCTCCGCCATCGCCGCCGCCTCCCTCTCCGCCGCCGCCCTCACCGCCCCCTCCGTCGCCGCCGCCGCCATCACCGCCGCCGCCATCGCCACCACCTCCCTCGCCACCACCGCCCTCCCCGCCCCCGCCAAGCCCGCCTCCGCCGTCGCCGCCGCCACCGTCGCCTCCGCCACCATCCCCGCGGCCGCCCAGCCCTCCGCCACCATCACCACCACCGCCCAGCCCTCCGCCCCCAAGCCCGCCCCTGGTGGTAGAGTTCGCAGAGCCCTCATTCCACGGCTTATGCTTGCCGCTCCAATGCAAGAGGCGGGCCTCGCAGATCCTCTGCCGAGGCACGTGCTTCCATCCGAGGCCCTCCGCCATCCAGGTGGATGGCAGCTCCTGTAAACATCCGGACGAACCATTGGCGAAGAGCAAAACGAGAGGAGTCTGCGTGTCGCTCGTTGGCGTCATCCCGGCGAATCCGGAAAAACCGAGGACGGTCTTCGGGCGCAAGGCGAGCGACTCCACAGCGCGTTGCGTGCCTCGCGCACGCCACTGGTCAAGATTGATGGCCATTAGGCCGGCGTTCCAGACGGAGTCTTGCTCTGAGACGCGTGTCAGGCCGAGCTTGCGCAGCCGCCGGGCGAGTCGCCTGCACGGTGATGGCGCTGGTTCTGCAAGCCGCCACAGCGAAGCCGAGCAATGCAACAAAGTCCTGCGCTGGACTTGGAAGCGGCAAGCGGGGGGAAAGCAGTGGGATTCCTTCCGCCATCGCACATGTAAATTTTTCAGGAGTTAAAACTTTTTATCATGTGCTGTGAGAGAGAGTTGTCTTGTTTAAACTTTTTATCAGACATAAGAGAGTGTGGTCAGGGCGCCTCGCTCCGCAGGTCGCACTAACACCGTCACACGCACGCCTGCCCTGTGAACAGCACAATGACGGAAACTTTGGTGGTGCCACAACAGCGAGTGCTCTTCTGGCTGCCAAAGTGGCCAGACGCATGCTGGGATGGCAGGGACACGAGGACGCGCGCCTTCGAATCTCGGCCCCCGAGAGCTCGGAGCAAGCATCGCTGCAAGGCTCCGCGTCGCCTCATTCTGCCTCCCCATCGACACCCACTGCATCAAGGTTTGGGTTGTGCGAGATTTCTGCCGGGCACTTTCATACCCGCGTAGAAAAGCTGGTACCAGCCAGTGTGGTGCCCGAGACACACATACAGCTGTACGGGGCTGTAGGCGGCAGAGCGGATGCTGGCCTTGGGTCGGCAAATGTGTCGAGTCCCATCGCCTGGGTGTCTTAGTACCGGGTCTCACTGGGATCACTTGTGAACTTGTGTGACATTGAAACACCCGTACAAGCGGTCGCCCGTCCCGCGCGATGTAGACATATAGACGCCACGCCCGAGCGCTCGTGTGTCGTGTGCCATGCGCGGCGCGCCGCGGCGCAGCGCCCGAGAACATCGCGGACAGGCGCCGCCGCTCGATTTCCTATAAAAAGTTGTCGAAATTTATGGTTAGATATTATGGAGCCTCACTCTCGTACTATGAAGCTCATAATGAGCTTCATTATGAGGCTGTGATACATAGTTGGCTTCATAGTGCCGACTGTGAAGGGAAAGGATATCCACCTCGAGAACGCGGCTAGGAATTCTTTTTTCTGCGACTCTGGCGACGAGGAGAGGAGGGTGCCGTCGCTGCTGACATAGCTGTCGCTGTGCTCGGGGCTTGCTCATGCTCGTGCTCTTCGAGACGCCAGCGGGCCACGCGCTGTTTCAGCTGCTCGACGCTGGCAAGCTCAAGAAGCCGGACAGCCTGAGGGAGAGCTTCAGCTCACCCGACAAGACGCGCAAGCTGTGCGCAGCCCCACAGTAGCGCATGCATGGGGACCGTGACGCTGAGCGTGGCCCGAATGGCTCGTTGCCGGCGCAATGCACAGCCTGGGCTGCCCCGTCGCCGCCCCCGCGGCCTCGTGGGCGTGCGGCTTTGCCCCCGACCGCCGCCGCCGCCGCCGCCCCGCGCCGCAGGGTAAAGCTCAAAGCCTTTAAAAAGTTCGAGGACACGGCGGAGGCGGTGCAGTCGGCGACGGCCCTGGTGGAGGGCAAGCTGAGCGCGACGATGAAGAAGTTCCTCAAAAAGAACGTCGCCGGCCAGGACCTGAAGGAGTCGCTCGCCGTGTGCGACGCGAAGCTGGGCGCCACCATCAAGGAGAAGCTCAACATCGCGTGCGTGCACGACGAGGGGGTGATGGAGCTGATGCGAGGGCTGAGGGCGCAGGTCGAGGAGCTCGTCACGGCGGCGACGCCCGCCGAGATGCGCTCGATGGCCATCGGGCTAGCGCACTCGCTCTCGCGGTACAAGCTCAAGTTCAGCCCGGACAAGGTGGATACGATGATCGTGCAGGCCATCGGCTTGCTGGACGACCTCGACAAGGAGCTAAACACGTACGCGATGCGGCTAAAGGAGTGGTACGGGTGGCACTTCCCGGAGATGGGCAAGATCGTGCCGGACAACCTGATGTATGCGAAAACCATCCAGAAGATGGGCGTGCGCACAAAGTGCAAGGGCCTCGACTTGTCGGATATCCTTGCCGAGGAGGTCGAGGCGGAGCTCAAAGACGCCGCCGAGATCTCGATGGGGACCGAGGTGTCGGAGGAGGACGTGGCCAACATCCTCATGCTGTGCGAGCAGGTCAAGACACTTCCGAGACACTTCCGAGACACTTCCGAGACACTTCCGTGACCAACATCCTCATGCTGTGGTCGGGCAGGTTGTCTCGCTCTCCGAGTACCGCTAACCCTGACCCTAACCCTGACCCTGACCCTAACCCTAACCCTGACCCTAACCCTAACCCTAACCCTAACCCTGACCCTGACCCTAACCCTGACCCTGACCCTAACCCTACCCCTACCCCTACCCCTACCCCTGACCCTAACCCTAACCCTGACCCTACCCCTACCCCTACCCCTACCCCTGACCCCAGGTCGTCTCGCTGTCTGAGTACCGCGCGCAGCTCTGGGACTACCTCAAGAACCGGATGAACGCCATCGCGCCTAACCTCTCGGTGATGGCCGGCGAGCTGCTGGTGCCCTCTGGCTGTGAACAGCGTCTCTTCACACCTCTAGCCGTGAACAGGTGATGGCCGGCGAGCTGCTGGTGCCCTCTGGCTGTGAACAGCGTCTCTTCACACCTCTAGCCGTGAACAGGTGATGGCCGGCGAGCTGCTGGTGCCCTCTGGCTGTGAACAGCGTCTCTTCACACCTCTAGCCGTGAACAGGTGATGGTGGGCGAGCTGGTGGGCGCGCGGCTGATTGCGCACGCGGGCTCGCTGATGAACCTCGCAAAGCAGCCCGCCTCCACGGTTCAAATCTTGGGCGCCGAGAAGGCGCGCGCCCTCCTCGCTCCGCCGGATCTCGGCGCAGTAGACGCACCCCGGCACACCCCGGGCCCTCGACTTCTGTTTGGTTGTGTGTGTGTGGTGAGAAGGAGGAGGGGGGGGGGGGGGGTAGCAGAATTCGAACGCGCCCATGCCGCCCCTCCCCCTCCCCCCCCCCCTGACATCCCCCCCCTCCCCCCCCCAGGCGTTGTTCCGCGCGCTCAAGGCCAAGCACGACACGCCCAAGTGCGGGCTCGACCACCACGCGTCGCGATTAATGAACCGTCAATGAACAGTTGATGAGCAACCAATTAGGTACGGGCTCATCTACCACGCGTCGCTCGTGGGGCAGGTCCGCGACACTTCCGAGACGCTTCCGAGACGCGTCCGAGACACTTCCGAGACGCTTCCGAGACGCCTCCGAGACGCTTCCGAGACGCTTCCGAGACGCCTCCGAGACGCTTCCGAGACGCTTCCGAGACACTTCGGAGACGCTTCCGAGACCTTCGGAGCGGCCCTCACGCCTCTTGAGACGCCTCCCCCGAGGTGCCCGCCGACACGTCCACTGACACGTCCCATGACACCCACCGGACACGTCCACTGACACGTCCCATGACACCCACCGGACACGTCCAGACACGTCCACTTGACATCCACACGACACGTCCACACACGACACGTCCATCGGACACGTCCATCGGACGCGTCCACTCCTGACACGTGCACCGCGCGGGCCGCGGCAGGCGCAGCCAAAGCACAAGGGCAAGATCTCGCGCGTCCTCGCGGCAAAGTGCGCCCTCTCGGTCCGCGTCGATGCTATTAATTAACAGTTAATTAAAATTTAATTAATAACTAATTAGGTGCGCCCTCTCGATCCGCGTCGATGCTCTCGGCTAGAGCAGCACGGCCGCCCATTGCTTGCATTAATCAAGGTCATTACTCCGTTTGATTTAAGTACTAGGCGAGAGCAGCACGGCCACGATCGGCATCGACTCGCGGCTCAAGGTCCGAGACACTTCCGAGACGCTTCCGAGACACTTCCGAGACACCTCCGAGACACTTCCGAGACACCTCCGAGACGCTTCTGAGACACTTCCGAGACACCTCCGAGACACTTCCGAGACACCTCCGAGACGCTTCTGAGACACTTCCGAGAAGGAGAGGTACCGACTCGCGCCTCAAGGTATCTCCCCCATATCTCCCCTCATCTCCCCACATCTCCCCACATCTCCCCACATCTCCCTACATCTCCCTCCATCTCCCCACATCTCCCTACATCTCCCTACATCGCGCATCAAGGTCGACCTCGCCCCTTCCCCCGACCCTTTCCCCCGAGCCCTTCCCCGGCCCTTCTTCCTGCAGGTCGAGGACCGGCTGCGGCAGCTCGAGGGCCGCGCGCCCGTCGAGGCGGCGGATGCGGCGCCGGCGGCGCGCCCGCAGCCGGCGGTGGTGATGGCGGCGGACACCGACAAGGGCCGCGGGTACTCTGTGGCGGCGGACTCTACGCTCGTGCCGAGCGGCAAGAAGAAGAAGGGCGCCAAGGACGAGGCCGACGACGACGCGGCGGCGGCCAAGAAGGCCAAGAAGGCCAAGAAGGCTGCAAAGGAGGGGGAGGGGGAGAAGAAGCGGAAGCGGGACGGGGAGGGCGGCAGCGGCGGCAAGGACGGCGAGAAGAAGAAGAAGAAGAAGGACAAGGACAAGGACTAGCGAGGGGCGCGTGCCTTCGCGCGCAACCCCGTGCCCCCCCCCCCTCCCCCCTCGCCACCCACCCCGACGTTGGGGCGGGGCAGCGCTGACCTCGCGCCCGTTTGCCCCTGCGGGTGTAGCACTCTGTTAAACGCATC